GACTCTACTTTTGATCATTTGAGGTGCACTATTACATTCAGATGATTTTTTTCATCCACTTTTGGTCATTTACGATACACTATTATAGACAAGAAGTCCAGATTTTGCAATGAAGAAAAACTTTGACTTATTTACAAAAATGCTGCCACATTTTTGATTCACTTTAATGCATGTATTTTTCACATATTTAGAGCCACCGGACCTTATATCCTACGCACCATATTTGTTCTTACTTTTCATGTGAATGAGACTATTTGACAAACATCATATGCATGTACGTTGCCACTGGAAATAATTATAATTATGAGCTTCATATGTCTCTTATTTTAACTCGTCTTTTGATTAAAACAGTTTTTAATAAAATAGACATTATGTGTTTGATACGGAGTATTTGTTTATAAGAAAATGAAATTACATCAAACCACAAAATATTTTCCTAAAAAGAAATGTGAAGATAGTTTTTGGGACAAAAGGAAAAGATAACGGCATTATATAGTGTTTTTGTTGAATGAATACTTCACTATATTCATTAGGTTATAAAATAGTACTTAAAATGTGGTTGAAGCGTGTGGTATTGTAACAATCTGACACTGATCAAGTAGGGCTGGACTCGGGCCGGGCGGCCCGACCCGGAACCGGCCCAGCCCGGTTACTGTGCTACCCGGCCCGGCCCGGTGAACCGGGTGGCTGACGGTTTGGGTCGACCCGGCCCGGGGGAGGGCGGTTCGGGCTCGGGTCACGATAATCTTGGGTGGTGGGGGTGGGAAAAAAAACCCTATTTATACTCCTATTTTCTATACATTTTTTACACCTTCTTCATACAATCCTACTCTCTAATTCTCTACTCTCTAATTCTCTATTCTCTCAATCTCTAAAATCTTCATTCATCTCCATCTTCATCTTCTCCATCTTCATCTTCTCCAATTATCTCTACATATATATATATATATATATATATATATACACAATTATAATATATATATATATATATTATTTATATAATTATCATTATATCTACTTATATAGTTATATATTTATTATCTACTTATATATACATATATTATATTACTAATATTTATTATCTACTTAATATATATTTATTATCTTCTTAATATTTAGTTTGATATAATTATCTACTTTACAAGCTTACATACATTGATACATATATTATATTAAATTTACATACACTTATATTATATTACTTATATTCCTTATCTACTTAATCTCTACCTATTATCTACTTATATTACCTATATTACAATTTATATCTACTTAATATACATTTTATATATTAAAGTATTCAATATAAGTGTATTACTCATCTTATAGTAGTATACTTATATATTATATACTATAAACATTATATATAAAACATTATATATATATATATATATATATATATATATATATATATTCGAATTACTATATATAGTATTATATATTCGAATTTCGAAGTATATTATACTATATTCGAATTACTATATATATTATACTTATATATATTATACTTTTTTTATTCGAAGTATATTTGTTTAATATTGTATTAACATTACTTGATTAGTTAATTGTATTAGTCATCTTATAGTAATACACTTATACATTATATACTATAAACATTATATTATATATTAGTTATACACTTATACAATTCTATTACCTACAAGTAGTTAATAGAATATTGTTACATTTTAATTAAAGTATAAAAGTAGGTAATTGTTGCATTTGTCATTTCGCTATTAGTTCATTAGTTAATTGTTGCATTTTTCATTAAAGTGTACAAGTATTTAGTTGTTACATTTTAATTAAAGTATAAAACTAGTTAATTATTGCATTTTTCATTAAAGTGTACAACTACTTAATTGTTATATTTTAATTATAGTATACAACTAGTTAATTGTTACATTTGTCATTTCGCTATTAGTTCATTAGTTAATTGTTGCATTTTTCATTAAAGTGTACAAGTATTTAGTTGTTACATTTTAATTAAAGTATAAAACTAGTTAATTATTGCATTTTTCATTAAAGTGTACAACTACTTAATGGTTACATTTTAATTATAGTATACAACTAGTTAATTGTTACATTTGTCATTTCGCTATTAGTTCATTAGTTAATTGTTGCATTTTTCATTAAAGTGTACAAGTATTTAGTTGTTACATTTTAATTAAAGTATAAAACTAGTTAATTATTGCATTTTTCATTAAAGTGTACAACTACTTAATTATTACATTTTAATTATAGTATACAACTAGTTAATTGTTACATTTTAATTAAAGTATAAAACTAGTTAATTGTTGCGTTTTATTATTACTGTTGTACTCATATTAAAATATTTGATATACTTTTATATTTGTTAAGATGGACCGTGGTAGATATTCTGTAGATATGGGAAATCTCCAACGCAACCGAAAGAAGGAGATTGCGAGAACTCATCCTAGTTTGCGCAAGAATACCGGGCAGTCCGGGTCTTCTTCTCAAAGTCGACAACATTTTGAACCGGAATACCAACGGCGAGATGGCCATGCGATGTCCGACGAGCAACTACAAAAACTATTGGCTCAAAATGATGGGCGATTTTTTCATCAACGAGACATCCCGGACGAGATTCACACCATTGACGGAGAAGAGCTCGAGGATGACGATCCGGAGGAGGACGCGGGGGGCGCCGGGAGTCACGGCACCCCGGATGAGGAGCAAGAGGCGGAGGACGAGGGTGGTTCATCCCAAACAGGTACGAAATCTAAATCTCCTATTATAGAAAATAATTTTAAAAAGTATAAAGACCCAAGCACCGAGAAATGGTACTCAAGTTGCAACCATTGCGATAAGGTGTATAGCTTGGGAACTTCAGGCGGACACGGGAGCCTCAAAAGGCATCTTATGGGCAAGCATAAGGTGGAGTACGCAAAAATTGAGAAAGGCAAGGGGAAGCAAACACAAATATCGAGGTTTGCAAATAACCAACCTTATGGTAATTTCTCATACAATGATCAACAAAATTTGACGGGTATGGCTAACTTTATGGTTGAAGAAAGTTTACCTTTTTTGTTTTCTGAAAGTGTTTCTTATTATATATAAAGAACATTTTCCTGCTTTTTTAAAAGAATATGATAACTACATTTTAAAATCCGCTCACATCGACACTTGCGAAAAAATTTGTAATGTTTTGATATATTTTAATAATGCAACTGAAAGTTTTAGTCATGTTTATAAACCTACTTCAAACGAATTTATGCGTGAACTTGTTAATCTCGCCGGTGCTTTTAATGAATTTGCAAATGCCGATTATGTGAGCTATTTTTGTGGTTTTATGAAGGAAAAGTTTTTAAAATATTATGCACATATTCCGCATATTTATGGTATTGCATTTATTCTCGATCCTCGTTTTCGACTTGGTAATTTGGAACAATGTTACAAGTTCTATTATCAATCTTTTTATGGTGATTTTCCAATGTATGAAGATAACCATATAGATCCGCAATCTGAATACAACGAGGTTAGTAGTTTATTCTATTCTTTATTTAATGAGTTTCGTGCACAATATGGTAACGCGCCCCCTCCCCCGACCCAAACATCTTCATCTAAAGGAAAATCACTTTTTAAATCTGCATTTGGCAATCTTATGAAAAAAACTAAAACAACTCACACTACTGAACAAAGCACAATTAATGAGATTGCTTTGTATACTAACTATGAGGTTGAGTTTGTAGAAAATGAAGAATTTGACGTACTAAAGTGGTGGAAGTCAAAAGAAAGAATGTTCCCGATTTTAGCACGGATGGCTAAGCAAGTACTATCAATGCCGGTTTCAACAGTTGTCGTGGAACAAGAATTTAGTTCGGCCGGCAACGCCCTAACTAAATCGAGAACGTGTTTGAGTGCCGAATCTCTTGAGACGTTTATATGCTACCACGATTGGTTGAAGGCAAGACGTAGAACTCAAGAAGTTAGCATCACCCCCTCCCAAGACTTTATGGATGAATCAACCGAGGGTGGTTCTACCTATGCCGGAGATTCCGATTGATTGGTATTTTACAATTTATTATTTTATCCTCAATTCTCTATTGTAATTTGTCAACTTGTAGATTTGTAGTTCATATTTCAAATCAATATACATTATATTTTTTTATATGTCGCATTTCTCAAATTAATCAAGTTACAACTTACAACTTAGAAAGTTAGAAACTTACAATTAATTATATTATATTATTATTACTTATTACAAAATGTATTAGAATTAATTGTTCTCAATTCTCAAATGTAATTCCTATTTCACATAAATACACTTGAAGATTGTTTTTTTAATATCCAAAAAGATGTATATTTTAACATAAAAAAAAATTATACAGGCCCGACCCGACCCGGCGGTTCACCCGGCCCGGGGCCCGGCCGGGTCACCCGTCTATTAGCGGTCCAGGCCCAGGCCCAACTTCTGCAAACCGAGGCCCGGCCGGTTCGATGCCCGAACCAGACCGAGTCCAGGCCTATTATCAAGTATGAGATTGATCGGTGATTTATAAACTTGATGTGCCCTCCTCCTATTGGCTAATCGTTTGGAAGTGAGGCTCATTGCCTTTTTATGGGTATGTATGGGCGACGTCCGTAACATCCTCGACATCACCACATGGTATTTTTAGCATCAAGGAATGAAGGAACCAAGAACGAACACAAGGAAGAGTACACCCAGAGGACACCAACTGACCAAAGGGCAAAAGGTTATGGAGTAACTTATAAGCATCATCCCAACTCCCAAGAGATCTTAACTGGGAAATGATATTCATCCTCCAAAAGGACCCAAGTTCAACTCCCTTCATCTTCCAACCTTTCATCACAACCAGGTTATAGCAATGGAAAATAATGTCTTAAATTCAGTTTAACATACTAGTCAGTTGAAATACGATGTATAAGGCAAAAAATGTATTAGGTCATTTTTTGGAACTAGCCATGTAAAGATGGTTAGCATTTGCAAGCAGTTAGACAAGTAGCCAAGTAGGTGATGGATGGATTTCAAAAAGGGAAAATTCAAATAGTTGAAGGTACAAGAAACAAACAAATAAAACTTGTAAGATGAGACAATGGATTATGAAAAGACAACTTTTCAAATGTTATGCAGAGTACAAGTGCCATTTAATTTATAAGTGAGCTCTTTTAGGCTCAAGATTTTAAAAGTGGAGTAAAAATCATTCTTAGATGACAAAAGCATACAAGATTGTCAAAAACATACCCTCTGGAATTAATAGAGGTCTTCACCCTTTCAAATATGAAAACTGAAAAGAGCTACACTAACCAAGAACCCCAATAAAGCACCAGCTATGACCTCAATCTCTGAGTGACCAATCGATTCTTTCAGCTCAGAATACTTCAATGGTTTTGAACCACTTTCAGCACCAGAGGTAGCAAACACAGTGGCACTCTTTTTCAATGGTTCCAAAGAACTCAATTCCTCGTATAAGCAAGGCTCAAGAATCTGAACATTTGACGTTGATTTTGGTTGCAAATTATCAGTCAAAGGAACATCATTGGAGGAACTTTGATCTAAACAAGTCTCTAACAAAACCCGGTTTAGTACTTTTCCATGGACTCCGACTTCCCTTCTAACCCCCTACAATAGCAGAAGATGCAGTCTTTAATATCATACACAGAAGACTTATGAAGGACCATTTACAAGAACATTGCTCCTTTATTCTCAGTTTCTTAGGGTGTGATGAACCTGGAAAGTGCTAGTGGTTGGATGAAAATAGAGGGAAAGTTTAGAACAAATAAATTGATCGCTAAATAAAAGGTTCATGCTAAATAAATTGATCGCAAATATTAGTTTGAAATCATTCTATTGATATAGTGCATAAAGACAAAGATAAAATTAAAATACAAAGACATACATAGTATAATGTAAAATTTAAATATTTTATTCAAATTAAATTTTCCTTCTAATTTTCTAAGTGACAACTGAAGATTAAAAAAAGTAAAAAAATAACATTTTCTCAATTCGTTTTCCTGCTAAGTTCAGCATTCCAATCATAGCCGGTGGCTAGAGTTTTCTTGAAAGATTCAGTTCATAGCAAACTAGATAATGTATTTCCGATGAGAAAGTTAAACAAAATAGCACTCCAACCAGCTTCGAGGCATTCGGAATGAACCAGACCAACAAGATTCAGAACATATCAGACTAGAAACATTCAGAATGTGTGCATAAACACATTCAAACGTGAGAACTCTTTGAGTGGGAGGGGGGGTCTTTCAATAGAGATATATTCAGACACAACTTATTTGGTTTCATCCTTGACCAAGTTAGTTTGGCGCTTGTGAGAACTTTTATTGCAATTTTAAAACAACGCAATAAAGAAAAACCATGCGAACACTTCATAAAAATTAATCTACTTTTCCAAAGATATTATGAATACTTTTAATATAAAGTGCAGTAATGAGGTGTCATCTGACTACATTTTAAGGTGATTGCAGACGATTAGACAAAGCAAAAGCTGCTCAACACAAACCTGTGCATCGTACATGACAATGCCAGCATAAACAACTGCTAAACCAAATACTGCGTCAGAGAAACCCCTGAATCCACATCAGGCTCTAATCACCAAACATAGGTACACAAGTTGAACAATGAAATGAAATTTGAAACACAATGCAGATATCTCTTTTAGTCTCATCTGCCAAAAATGTACAGTGAGATTGTACCTTTCCAGGCCAATGGAAGTGGCTGTTGCAACAGCTGCCTGTCATTTGCAAATAGCTGATGTTTAGTAAGGTAAAACTAAAACTAAAAATAATAGCAATAGAAACAACAGTAATAAAACAAAACAAAAATAACCACTCAATTTGTTTGTATCTGTTTTTCAACCCCTAAGAATGTTGGGAGGGTGACCTAGGGAAGAAAGGCTAAAATGTCTCACAGAGGAGTGCGTCGAAGGGAACCCTCCAGACTGAAAGGCTTCCCTGATATCAAAATCTTGCCCATGAAATATGGCTGACGTAAAAGGTTTAGAAAGTTGCCCGACTGCAGCAGATAAAGCAGCAGCTATCAAAACCTGAATGGTGCTCATAGCAAAGTAAACATTTCATCAAAATCAGTAAAGAAATATACGGAGTATAACATTTTCACGAGAATATCTTTTCATGTTCGGTTGAACTAAAGGCCTAATACATTTTGAAAGGAAAAGGAACAGTGAGTTCAGTCATCACACACTCACACCCAGGTAAATCTACAGAGCGTATTAGACCTTAGACTACTCTGCAATGCATAGGGGTGAGATGGGATCGGCTCTTTGGAAAAAGTTAAGGAACCATTTTAAAGATTCATTGATTTTATATGGGTTCGGTTCTAACATTTTTATGAAGAACCGACACAAGAACAGTTAATTATATCAGTTAGTTCTTTTGAGTTATTGGTAAACTGTTAACACATAAAACCCAATAACAAGTTACCAATACTTACCAATAAATAACTCTTTAACAAAAAATGTTAACGAGCAAAAAGTTATCAAGAAACAGCTATTAAGAAGCAAAACAAATTACACAATATTGATCCGTTGAATTTAGTTATTGAGGTGTACATCTTGTGGGATTTAATGTCAGTACACACACGACAAGCATATATGTTCTGTAATCATGTTTCTTCAAGAAGCGGGACCCAATCGTGGACAATGACCATTGATCAGAAACCCAACCATCAAGAATCTATAACCCATACACGGGACCAAACCAAACCAGGTCACAAGGGTCCAGTTCGAATAGGTTCCCAAGTGGTTCCAAAATCCCAGCCCCAGATACGCTATCACTCTACCAGCCACCTTTTGTCATCATTTTTAAGATGTAGAGCTGGAATGTAACCATATGCTTGTCCTCAATGATTGAGAATGCATCATTGACAACTGAGTCCCAGAAGGGAATTAGGGAAAACACTAATAAAACAATCCTTACTCATTAAAGAAATGAAGAAACACTAGTATGGGGTGTTTGGGTAAAAGTGTAGAAGTGATTATGATACTCTATTTTACTCCTAGAATCAGTTTTTCTAGAAGCTGGGGGAGAACAACTTCTGATTCTGCTTCTTCTTTAAAAAATAAGCAGAAGCAGAATCGGTTCCAAACGCCCCCTATATATATTAGCCCAGAGTCAACTCAGGTGAGAGTTTAGACACGAGCACAAACACATGGAAGAAGAGACATTAAAATTTCCACAAGTCCTTAACCCACATCCGCCAAGAAACAATTTTGAAAATGAAGCATTAATAAATAAAAGTATCGATATTGATTGCCAATGTTTCTCTTTTATACATAAAACTCAAATCAATGGCAATGAAAAGTAAGATGAACAAAAGTTAACCTTGTTATGGATGATATCCGTGATTCTAATAGCTCCATCGCCCAGACACGCTACTGTAAAGGAACGGCCGCACGAAGAACCTCCAATTCGTCGGCTAGTAAGAGTAAGTGCCACCTTAATCACAACACTGCTAGACGGTCTTGAATTTTTGGTGCCAAATGAAGTGGTATGGTTACGAGATAGTAAAGCACCGGGAAAGCAGCCACTCAGGCTCAATATGGTCATTGAGCTTCTCGGGAAAACACAGGTCAAACCCCGTACAAACAAATACTACCTCCCCCGTCCAGTGCTCCATCACTCCATGCCGCCGAGACCTCAGGGCCTAACGGTAGGCCAGCCCCCAAGGTGAATGTGGAATGGAAAATTATGAATGTACACCACCACTTGGTTAAAACAAAAAAGGATGACACCTCATCCATGAGGGCCCCAACACCGACCGGACAGAGGGAGGATGTAAGTTAGATAACTCTTGTGACACTCCCTTGCTATCAGTTGAACTACGTCCACCAGTTGGTTTAAAAGGTGACAGGACTTGATGTCACATTTTGTCTATCTACACAAGTAATGTACATATTTTGTGTACGTCTTGTGTATACCAAGAATGATTCATATGGAACATTTTCTCAAAGTTTTGGATAAAATTTTGTAGCGTGCGTGTTTACTTCACATGTCTTACTTGAGCCCATTTGGTAGCATGAAAATCAGCTGTTTTGGCTGATTCTGCTGAAATTTATGAAGTTCTGACTGAAGTGGTTGCATTGGCTGATTCTGGTGATTTAAGAAAAAAAATATTTTTAAAATATATTTTACTAATAAAATAAAGAAAAAATTATATGTAAAAATAGCTAAAATGGTCATCTTCAATAACTTCAGCCAATACAGCCAGAAAATTAACTTCAACCTTACTTTTTCTGTTTATTACACAATTCAGCACATGAAATCAAAAGTTACGTGTCTGATGAAAATGTTGACTGATAAATCCGATAAACCGAAAAACAATGTTGACAAACGGCCTAAGGAGACAAATTATATGAAGTGAAATAATTTAATTGGTTTAACACCGGTGAACAGATGCAATACTCACGAGTCGTTACTATTACAATCATACGGAGTATAAAACTATTAATTGTGGTGGCAGTAAATATTTCCCCCAACTGATACAAATAATGAAAAAAGAGTGCTATGCTCTTTACTGATTCACTGTTAGTTTATTATTGTATTTTCATTATAAATGAGAACTTGTTTTTGCAATTGAGATTGAACTTTTTGAGTTCATTGAAACAATATGAAATATCAAATTTTCACTTGATTAAGATTCAAATAACTAAGTCACTTTACTATTAATAGGTGCAAAAAAGATTATAGTGTAATTTAAATTCAAAAATATTGTTTTTTGGAAGAATTCGGCTTATATTGATAACACATAATTCAGAGTATGGGTAAAACGACAAAAGAAATCTGACAACCGTTGTCCCGCGAATCAGACTTGGAATTAATCACCTCCAGAAAAGCAATATAATTCGCTGATCCATAAATGGGAACACCAGAGCCAAAAATGGTTATCGTATTCCTCTCATCCCCACATCCAAATCCAACGACTTACAAGCAGGAACAAAAAAGAAAAAGCAAATAACAACACAGAAATAACAATCACTGGAATAACAAACAAAACAAAAAATGTAAGTCTTCTGTCCCAGCCTGCTAACTCGAACAGACCCTCGAATTAAGGATGTCAAAAAAAAACGACCCGCAGTGACCCGCCCTGGCCCGAGACATTTGGGGCGGGTCCGGTCCGCCCCGTCTTCCAAATGGGGCGGGTCCGCCCCGCCCCGCCTATACAATGGGGCGGGTCCGGGTATCAGTATTGACCCGTGCCGCCCCGACCTGACCCGACCCGCTCAATACATAAGCATACATACTTTTTCTTAAATTATACTACAAATATACTTCAACATACATATGTGTGTATAAATCATAAATTCTTTGATCTTATAATATATTAATACATATATTAGAATGAGATGAATCACAGATTATCAATGTTTTCTTTATATATAGCATTTTAATATATATGTTCAATTATTAATATGATTAAATAGATTAACTATTCAAGTCTGGGTAATTTTTCGTTAACTTTTGAAATTTTTAGGGTATCATGAATTTGATTTAATATATTAATTTTTAATTATTATTTAGAGATAAACTTTATGTAGATGCAATTGATAACAACTTCCCACAAATAAAAATACATACTAGCTCATAGGGTTACGGCGGGGCGGGTCATGGGTCAACAAGTTTGGACCCGTGCAGGTCACGGGCCGGGGCGGACTCGCCCCGCCAAGTCACAGGGCGGGTCTGGGTCTTGCAGTACCCGCCCCGACCCATTGTCATGCCTACCTCGAACTTGCTGCCTCCGTGCTCTCGTCAGAAGCTTCGGTGGGCTTAAAGAGCAAAGCACGCCTCCTCCCCGTTTTTTGTCTCATCCAAAGCCATGTTGTCCTCTCCTTGAACCTTCTTTGTCCTAGTCTCTCAGATCTTCCTTCTCTTTGAAACCTTTTCCTTTGATTCCTCCCCCGCTCTTTTGGTAATGCTTTGGGTTGATTCTATTGTTGCCTATTTCTCTTTTTCATCTGACTTCTCTTCCGATTTATATGCCCATGTATATCCACCCGTTCTGCTAGAGCTCGATGAACCCTCCAGGAGCCATTTATTACCTCCTGTAGGGCTGATCTTCACCTCACTTCCTGCTCTAAGATGGATTCCAAATCTTTTTTCTAAAGCTAAGCCTTCTTCATAATTTAGGGGACAAAAATTATCTGAATGTCCAATGAAACCACATATGAAACAAAAGTTGGGCAGTCTTTCATATTTGAAATCTACCCAAAAACTTTTACCATCTTTTTTCAGATTTGTCCCCTTTTTCAACGATTTATCTACCTTCATTAGTACTCTAACCCGCATATATGGCTCGAACTTTTCACTTTTCTGATTGTCATCATATTTTATGAATTCTCCAATGAAATTTCCCACACGCCTGACAGTACCCAGATTAACTAAGCTATAGGAAACATTATGAATCTGAACCCAAAACTCAGTCTCATTTAAAATAATTTTGTGTGGTATATCACCAGGCTTAACCTCTTTTAGCATCAAAAGACTACATTCAAATTGCCATGGTCCTCCCTCAAGCACACACATCATATCAAAACGATGAAAAAAAAGTAAACAGATACCTCTTTTCACCAATTTCTTTAATCGTCATACCCTTCCCCGGTCTCCACAGAGATAACATCAACTCCTTAAGATCCGGAAATTTGACTTTCCTATCGGTCAAAACCTGGCCGATCACCGGGAATCCTTTCGAACCTGTCTCCCCCGGAACTTCCTCGGCGTCAAGCTCATCGAGATCCAGCTCCTCCGTGTCTTCTCCGATCGCCATCTGCTTATATCTATCGACAAAAGATTCCATTCGCCACACTACTTCGTCCCGCTGTCGCTGCTTCGGTTTCAAGCGCCAAGTACAGCTCGCCAACTCCCTCCAAACTCCTGGATAAATAAACCAGCCACCGCCCTTGCCCCTTAATCAGCAGACTCGTCACCGCCTTAATCTACCAATCCAGCACGACCCTTGTTCAATCCGATCGCCACTCGTCCCAACCAATCCAACACGCCCCTCGAAGAAATCGAGGGCGGACGAACTAGGAGTTGCGAGAGGCAACCCTAGAGAGAGTTCAAAAATATTGTTACAAACCATAAAATATGCAACCTTTCAAAACTATTTCAACCGCATACTTGATCGATACTTAACATATAAAACTGAATATAGATTAAACTTCAATTTACCAAAAAATGTATATCTAAGAACACCAATTATATAAAACAACTAATAATCTTAGCGGAAAGAGAAGGTCTACGTATTTCGGAAGGATATTTTTATTGAAAATGAATCATGTTAGTTTTAATGAGACCACATATATATTCTCAAAATGCAGTGTGCATTTTTAAAAAGGCTCGATTCTGAAACTTAGTTATTTTTTAAGTTGAAATGACAAGATACAGCTCTTGAAGTCATGAAAATATGAAATACTGGTACTAGTCATGGACCCGGGCCAGGCCGGGCCCGGCCGGGCTTTTTTTTGGGGAGGAAGGCCCGGGACCGGCCCAAGTAACCACCGGGTCCGGGCCGGGCCTCCGGTTTGGTCATTTTTTTTTTTTTGCTTTCCTAACCCCCCTCACCCCTCCAAACCCCTCCTAACCATCAAGCCCAACCCGGGTAACCCCAAAAAACGGGGGAAAAAAAAAAGAAAAAAAAAATCAATTCGGCCCGGGCCCGACCCAACCGGGCCGGTTCGCCAAATACAAGGCCCGGACCCACCCCCACACCGGGCCTAGGCCCGACCCGGACCCGCCCCCCCCACCGGGCCTAGGCCCGACCTGGATCCGGACCCGAGAACCGGGCCGGTTCCGGTTCCGCACAGGAGCGGGCCAGGCCGGTCCCGGGCCAGGCGACCTGAACCGGGTCCATGACTAACTGGTACTTGAGAATTATGTGTACAAATTTTTAAAGTTGACATGATACAAACATTTAGTAGATACAAATATCCAAAATAGGAGTAGTATATTTTCATTCTCTAATAGAAGTAAATAGTGTCAAACTTGAAAAATATTAACATGTTATAAGACTAGTATTGCTAAAATATACAATAATCAAAATTGGACTACATAATCTTTTTTAGTCCTTGTTTAGAATAATTTCTTAAATTTTTATTTGAATAGATTCATAAAATTAGACTCGTTTATAGCTATTTTTGGAAGATTAAATGAACTGGAATGATGAATGGAATATGAAAAAAAAAAAAGTAAATATACTTCCAAACAAGTGATAGTATCTACCATAGTTGTAGTTTCAAATACTTCAAATACACTGTTTTTTCTTCAGAACTGGAAAATAAATTAAAAAGAAAAGTATCAAACGTCTTTCTAAGTTTCTAGTATTGTTTCCATAAGCAGTGTACGGAAACAGAAAAATAATGCCAAAACAACCCATACCCCAGCTTTCACTTTATCACCCTTTGCAATGAAGATTTTAATTTCTTCAAGATACGGAAAACTGATATACCAAAATTGTAAGAGCACTTGTTTTTCTCCTTTTTGGGTATATGTGATCTAGCAACTATAACTTGAAGCTAATTAGAACTCATCAAAACTGATAAGTTAAGGATCCATAAAACACACCAAGGATGTTTATTATGCAACTGTATAAGACTAAGGTTACCCATTATAAAACTCAGACTAAGAACTTTGAAGACCATCACTCTTTCTTGATTGATCTT